ATTTTAAATATGCGGAAAGAACTTAATATTCCAAGCATTAGAGATCGTGTTACTGAAAGAAATATCCTTATTGGGGTCAATATGCTTTGGTTAGCCCATTCAAACCGCTGCACAGAAGCCCTCCAAACTTTCCTCAACACTGGTGAACATCCTTCCAGATGGATCGAAAAAAACTGGAACCGACCTCCGCACGAACCAGCTACATGATCTATGACAAGTTAGGAACAGAGACACTTCCCTGCTCCATGGGATATTACTCCATTCCAAACTTCCATGCCTCCATTCCCCTCCAAATTCTTCTTAAATCGCAACCAAAGCTTCGTCTTGAAGCCAAACATGATGCCTTAAGCTGTATTGATAACTTAGTCACACAGAACACTCACAAATTATTTACGTTGATGGTTCTGTTCACCAGTCCACTGGTGCAGCTGGTAGTGCTGCTGTAGTCATACAGAGTGATGGCTCTCATAAAGAAATTGGAGCACGCATCAATAACTGGGCCTTAACCAGAACTGTTTGCCATACTCCTTGCACTCAAATGCGACCATGTATCTAAGATTGTCACTTTAATTGTAACTGATTCTCTGTCATCCATTAATGCTCTTAACTCATTAAGTATAAATTGTGTCATGCTTGTGTCAGAAGCCAGCCATAGGTATGGTAAGATTGTGGACAGTGGAGTCGGAGTGCACATGCTGTGGATTCCATCTCACATTGGTCTTCAGATGCATGATAGAACTGATAAATTGGCTAAGCTGTATGCTTTCAAAGAGGGAGTAGATTACAATCTTGGCTTGTCAGGTAGTAGTTTGAGAACAACATACGAAAAGAACATCAACTGAATTTTATTGACTTAAGACACAGTCAGTCCTTCTATCAATCATTCCATCATGCAGGAGGAGCCACATGTCTATGGTGCATCCAACAAAATAAGCAGACTCTTGGATGTCACTACCGCCCGGCTCCGGCTGGGTTACAAGTATCTTTAGCAGGTTAAATCACCACCATCAGATGTAGACCAACCGAAATGTAAACTTTGCCAGATGGACTATTGTCACACCTTGCGTCATTATGTACTGGAGTGCGTCACCCCCTGCGTCATTATGTACTGGAGTGCGTCACACACCCTGCGTCATTATGTACTGGAGTGCGTCACACCCTGCGTCATTATGTACTGGAGTGCGTCACACCCTGCGTCATTATGTACTGGAGTGCGTCACACCCTGCGTCATTATGTACTGGAGTGCGATAAAATTAATGAATTTAGAGACAATTCACTCAGAAATGTTCAAGAAATGGCAAAGTATTTTATCCACAGTGGTATATTACAGACTATTCTGGAGAAATACTCTGGCTTTTCTAGCTGTAAATAAAGCATTACCGTGCTTGTGTGTGTGTGTGTGTGTGTGTATACTCACCTATTTGTACTCACCTATTTGTGGTTGCAGGGGTCAATCACAGCTCCTGGCCCCGCCTCTTCGCTGATTGCTACTAGGTCCTCTCTCTCCCTGCCCCATGAGCTCTATCATACCTCGCCTTAAAACTATGTATGGTTCCTGCCTCCACCACATCACTTTCTAGGCTATTCCATGGCCTGACTACTCTATGACTGAAGAAATACTTCCTAACAGCCCTTTGATTCATCTGAGTCTTCAACTTCCAATTGTGACCTCTTGTGTCTGTGTCCCATCTCTGGAACATCCCGTCTTTGTCCACCTCGTCTATTCCGCGACTAGATCTACCTGGAGTTCATTACCTCTGTAACTTGTCATGATTGTGACTAGATCTACCTGGAGTTCATTACCTTTGTAACTTGTCATGATTGTGACTAGATCTACCTGGAGTTCATTACCTCTGTAACTTGTCATGATTGTGACTAGATCTACCTGGATTTCATTACCTCTGTAACTTGTCATGATTGTGACCAGATCTACCTGGAGTTCATTACCTCTGTAACTTGTCATGATTGTGACTAAGATCTACCTGGATTCATTACCTTTGTAACTTGTCATGATTGTGACCAGATCTACCTGGAGTTCATTACCTCTGTAACTTGTCATGATTGTGACTAGATCTACCTGGAGTTCATTACCTTTGTAACTTGTCATGATTGTGACCAGATCTACCTGGAGTTCATTACCTCTGTAACTTGTCATGATTGTGACTAGATCTACCTGGAGTTCATTACCTTTGTAACTTGTCATGATTGTGACTAGATCTACCTGGAGTTCATTACCTCTGTAACTTGTCATGATTGTGACCAGATCTACCTGGAGTTCATTACCTCTGTAACTTGTCATGATTGTGACCAGATCTACCTGGAGTTCATTACCTTTGTAACTTGTCATGATTGTGACTAGATCTACCTGGAGTTCATTACCTCTGTAACTTGTCATGATTGTGACCAGATCTACCTGGAGTTCATTACCTCTGTAACTTGTCATGATGTGACCAGATCTACCTGGTTCATTACCTTGTAACTTGTCATGATTGTGACCAGATCTACCTGGAGTTCATTACCTTTGTAACTTGTCATGATTGTGACCAGATCTACCTGGAGTTCATTACCACTGTAACTAGTTCAGCTATCAAAACTTTGGGGTCCAGTCCCTGGACCCATTATGTACCTCTGTAATCTTTTGACTACCGCCCACAGGATGGGTCTGGGGCGACTACCGCCCACAGGATGGGTCTGGGGCGACTACCACCCACAGGATGGGTCTGGGGTGACTACCGCCCACAGGATGGTTCTGGGGTGACTACTGCCCACAGGATGGGTCTGGGGTGACTACCGCCCACAGGATGGTTCAGGGGTGACTACCGCCCACAGGATGGGTCTGGGGCGACTACCGCCCACAGGATGGTTCTGGGGTGACTACCGCCCACAGGATGGTTCTGGGGTGACTACCGCCCACAGGATGGGTCTGGGGTGACTACCGCCCACAGGATGTTCTGGGGTGACTACCGCCCACAGGATGGGTCTGGTGGTGACTACCGCCCACAGGAAATGGTTCTGGGGTGACTACCGCCCACAGGATGGTTCTGGGTGACTACCGCCCACAGGATGGGTCTGGGTGACTACCGCCCACAGGATGGTTCTGGGGTGACTACCGCCCACAGGATGGGTCCGGGGTGACTACCGCCCACAGGATGGGTCTGGGGTGACTACCGCCCACAGGATGGTTCTGGGGTGACTACCGCCCACAGGATGGTTCTGGGGTGACTACCGCCCACAGGATGGGTCTGGGGTGACTACCGCCCACAGGATGGTTCTGGGGTGACTACCGCCCACAGGATGGGTCTGGGGTGACTACCGCCCACAGGATGGTCTGGGGTGAACTAACCGCCCACAGGATGGGTCTGGGGTGACTACCGCCCACAGGATGGGTCTGGGGTGACTACCGCCCACAGGATGGGTCTGGGTGACTACCGCCCACAGGATGGGTCTGGGGTGACTACCGCCCACAGGATGGGTCTGGGTGACTACCGCCCACAGGATGGGTCTGGGGTGACTACCGCCCACAGGATGGGTCTGGGGTGACTACCGCCCACAGGATGGGTCTGGGGTGACACTACCGCCCACAGGATGGTTCTGGGGTGACTACCGCCCACAGGATGGGTCTGGGGTGACTACCGCCCACAGGATGGGTCTGGGGTGACTACCGCCCACAGGATGGTTCTGGGGTGACTACCGCCCACAGGATGGGTCTGGGGTGACTACCGCCCACAGGATGGGTCTGGGGTGACTACCGCCCACAGGATGGGTCTGGGGTGACTACCGCCCACAGGATGGGTCTGGGGTGACTACCGCCCACAGGATGGGTCTGGGGTGACTACCGCCCACAGGATGGTTCTGGGGTAACTACTGCCCACAGGATGGTTCTGGGGTGACTACCGCCCACAGGATGGTTCTGGGGTAACTACCGCCCACAGGATGGGTCTGGGGTGACTACCGCCCACAGGATGGGTCTGGGGTAACTACCGCCCACAGGATGGGTCTGGGGTGACTACCGCCCACAGGATGGTTCTGGGGTGACTACCGCCCACAGGATGGTTCTGGGGTAACTACCGCCCACAGGATGGTTCTGGGGTGACTACCGCCCACAGGATGGTTCTGGGGTGACTACCGCCCACAGGATGGTTCTGGGTAACTACCGCCCACACAGGATGGTTTCTGGGGTGACTACCGCCCACAGGATGGTTCTGGGTGACTACCGCCCACAGGATGGTTTCTGGGGTGACTACCGCCCACAGGATGGGTCTGGGGTGACTACCGCCCACAGGATGGTTCTGGGGTGACTACCGCCCACAGGATGGGCCTGGGGTGACTACCGCCCACAGGATGGGTCTGGGGTGACTACCGCCCACAGGATGGGTCTGGGGTGACTACCGCCCACAGGATGGGCCTGGGTGACTACCGCCCACAGGATGGCCTGGGGTGACTACCGCCCACAGGATGGGTCGGGGTGACTACCGCCCACAGGATGGGTCTGGGGTGACTACCGCCCACAGGATGGGCCTGGGGTGACTACCGCCCACAGGATGGGTCTGGGGTGACTACCGCCCACAGGATGGGTCTGGGGTGACTACCGCCCACAGGATGGGTCTGGGGTGACTACCGCCCACAGGATGGGTCTGGGGTGACTACCGCCCACAGGATGGGTCTGGGCTGCATAATAAACATATTAAACTGAACTATTTTAAACCGCGAAAATAACTAAATGGAAGTTTTGAGAAAATATATATTTGGTGAAAAATGTGTGAAGACACGAACTCTGCTCTACTCACAACAGAAAGGGAAGATGTAGGGAATTAAAGCTATTTCTCATGTAAGACACTGAAATCTAGATATATCTACTAATTAGTTGATTACAAATGTTTATGGATTGAAAGACAGAGGTGAGGAGTGAAGGACATTTAATGCCTATGGAGATACAGATCTTAAAAGATCATGGAAGCTAGAAGAGTACAACTGTAACATTAAGCACAGAATCCCTTACCTGAAAGAGAGCACCACGATCCAGAGCTTGGCTCAGGTGCTGGTCAGTGAGGTGTTTGCATGAGCCCAAGTCAATACTGGAAGCACCGCACGCCCACACCACTGCCCACACCACTACCTCCGGGTCTATCACTTGACTTATCGTGGGCAGTGTCATAATACGTAGACTTCCTAACTTGGATGAAGGGACAGGCGGGTATGGGCTAGTTAACATCGGTGTGACTCCCTCTAAATAGAGGTGAGTGAGGGCAGGGCAGGTGACTGCGAGGTGTGATAAGTGAATAGGGCGGGGATCAAGCAGTGACAGGTGAAGGTAGGTGAGGTACGGCACAGGGTTTGCGGGGAACCAGGTCTCACGCACCGGCAAGAACTGTACTAATGTAAGTGCTGTCAGCGAGGGGACTGCCTCCAAAACCTGGCCCACACTTAGGCTGTCAGAAGGGCGGCGGGCCACCAGGGAAGTCAGGAGAGGGCACAAGGAGGCCACTGGAGCAAGTGGTGGGAGTGGGAACCTCAGCCAGCAGCAGCTGGGAGAGTGCCAGTGGGAGTCTCACGTCCGGCCCTCACCATCAGGTCCAGTGCCTCTTCTGACCAGCGGCAAGTGAGAGCTGAGAGGGCAGGGCAGACAGAAAGCAAGAGAACACACCCTCTGGTGGTCACTTCTGTGCCCCACAGGTTGAGGGTGTGCAGAGTGGCAGCAGGACCTTGCCCACCTCCCTCATACCCATCATCCATCACCTCACGCATTGTGCGCGTGTCTCCAGCAACACCCAGGAGAGCACGCATTCCCTTGTCAGTGACGGCAGTGCAGTAGGAAACGTCAAGGGTTTCGAGCGGTGGCGCGGCGACTGCTAAAGCTGCTAGATGGGCATCTGTGGCCGCCGGTGTGAGGGTAAGGGAGGTAAGGCAGGTCATATTTCTCAATGCCACACACATTGAACCCCTTAGAACGGTCCTGGGCCCAAGTGTGAGCAACAGAGAGGTGATGTGAGCGGAGTGGGCGCTCAGGGCTTCCAGTAAAGCTTCAATCAGTGTTGGGTGTTCCAGGTGAACCTCTAGCCGACTGACCCCGGCTGCAACTGCAGCCACCGCCAGCCGTGCCAACACAGCCTCTCGAAGACCTGCAGCTCCTTGATTCAACGCCGCTGTCAACAATGCTGGGGGGGCTCTTAAGGGGGCGTGCACCCCTTCCCCACGCCCCACAGCCGTATCTAACGCCCGAAGCCATGCACATAAAGCTCCAGCCTCCAGACGCTCGGGCGCTCGCACGCCCACCATTCTGCAATACCAACACATTGGCTTTAAGGACTGACACAAAAGTTACGCTAATGTTAACTTTCTAAGGTAAACATTACAGAATAACTTAAAAACATAACAGCAACATGAGTCCCACCCAGGAACACCAGAGTACTTGAAGAAAAGCTATCTACCGGAGCCCCCAACCTGCAATATGTAGACAAACACACAAGAACGACACTGTCCACTTTCTCTACACATTCAGAAACAATAAACTCACATCATTCAAACAAGAACTTCCTTTTCTCTCATCAGCAGCCGAAACACTAATCGTTCGCCAACATTTCACACAGTGGGAGGTAACATGTAGTGTTACCTCCCACACAACTATGAAAGTTCAAGCCATTAAAAATGTTCTTTGTCATCAATAAACAAACTCAAATACAAATCCAATATTAAGCACTATATATTTCAGTACTACCTCTCATATTTTCCTGCTCATCGTGTACTCTACTAAGCCTACAAGGCCCCTGATTCCAGATTTTAATTTACATTTCCTAAAGCATTTTGCAACTTATTCTCCAATTTGTTTTTTTAAGTACAATAACTACCAACTTAAGTTGGTAGTTATTGTACTTTTTTCGTGTTTTTTTTAAGTGCAATACCACAATTTTAAAAATTCTAAAAATCTGATACTAGACAGATTTGAAATGTTAATAAATTAATAAATTACAGATTATGAATTTGTAATATATTTTGTGTAAATCTTAGAGTTTTGGTACAAGAAAGATTTGTTATGCCGAGACATAAAGACATAACTATATTATAGAGATGTTTGTTTTGACGAGAGGATACGTCAAGAGTATTATACTCTCATATTTGTATAATGTCTATGATGATGTAATGAATACAAGGCAAAATTATAGCTATTATCCAGGCACTACTTATTTTAATAATATAAACTAAGCCTATCACATAGTACTGAATAATGAGTAAGATACATGTGCAACATCTGGGTGTCTATGAGTAAGATACATGTGCAACATCTGGGTGTCTATAATGAGTAAGATACACGTGCAACATCTGGGTGTCTATAATGAGTAAGATACACGTGCAACATCTGGGTGTCTATAATGAGTAAGATACACGTGCAACATCTGGGTGTCTATAATGAGTAAGCTACATGTGCAACATCTGGGTGTCTATAATGAGAGATGTTTCTCCCACAAGAGGCTTTATCAATCTAATAAAGACACCTTTGATATACCTTTAAAGAGTTTTGAGAGTTTCTCTACACTCTAAGCCCGGCCATGGGCCAGGCTCGTCTGGTGCACATGGGAACCGCTGCATAACTCCATTTCTCCCAATGGTTCCACTATCAAAGGTTCAGTTTTCATGTCAATACATTAGACTGACGCAGCTCCTGGTGAGAGACAACGTATCTGGGTAAACTTAAACAGGTGTTTCACCTGCATCTTATACATCAACTTGCCATTATGTACCTTCTGTTTAATGGTAGATATGGTGGTTCCATGAAAAACAATTTTACTAGGAAATATTCAGCTATAACATTTGAACCTAACATCAACTAGATGTGTTTCGGTTACTGAGGAATCCTAGAAAGGTGTTCCAGAAATCAAACACCTCAGCCCCTGCAATTAAACTCTCGCAAAGTAAATATGACAGGTTCGGGGTGCAAGTTTGTATTGAAAATAAATATAAAATACCTACCGGCTGAAGCACGGCACTCTTGAAAGGCCGAGAAGCTGTCAAACAGCATCCTAAAGATGCCCAGGAGCTGGAACCTAACCCAGTCTTACACTAAAAATTTTGATGCACTAACACAGTCAAAACCATTAAAGGAGCGCTAAGACACAGCATAGTAGGTATCCACAGTGAGCATGTATACACAGTAAGCATGTATACATAGTAAAAATGTATACATAGTAAGTATATATATATACATAATCATGTATCCATAATAAGCATGTATACATAATGAGCATGTATCCATAGTGAGCATGTATCCATAGTGAGCATGTATACATAGTGAGCATGTATCCATAGTGAGCATGTATACATGAGCATGTATCCATAGTGAGCATGTATACACAGTATGTATCCATTGTGAGCATGCATACATAATGAGCATGTATCCATAGTATGTGTACATAGTGAGCATGTATACACAGTAAGCATGTATATCGTAGGGGTTCTTAAAAGGAGATATCGAGGGTTGAAGGTAGACACACTGGTTGGATGGTAACAATATATTGTCAGACTGTGATGATGGGAGATGGAGCCCAGCCTCTGCCTTGTCCTGCCTATGTCAAACGCCGACTGAGGCCGAGGTAGCTCGCCTCACTCAAGCTGCATCCCGTGACGTCATACAGTCACAGGTCTAAGGGGTCTTCTATATAAACAGATGGATGATACTATAATGCTCAGCTAATCTATACAACACATGTAAGGGGATTCAGCAACTATGCTGACATGTATACATAATGAGCATGTTTACATAATGAGCACATATCCATAGTGAGCATGTATACATAATGAGCATATATCCATAGTGAGCATGTATACATAGTGAGCATGTATACACAGTGAGCATGTATACATAGTAAGCATGAATACACAGTGAGCATGTATATATAGTAAGCACGTATACATAGTGAGCATGTATGCATAGTGAGCATGTATACATGAGCATGTATGCATAATGAGCATGGATCCATAGTGAGCATGTATACACAGTGAGCATGTATACATAGCATGTATACATAATGAGCATGTATCCATAGTGAGCATGTATACATAATGAGCATGTATCCATAGTGAGCATGTATACATAGTGAGCATGTATCCATATTGAACATGTATACATAATGAGCATGTATACATAGTGAGCATGTATCCATAGTGAACATGTATACATAATGAGAATGTATCCATAGTAAGCATGTATACATAATGAGCATGTATCCATAGTAAGCATGTATACATAATGAGCATGTATCCATAGTGAGCATGTATACATAGTGAGCATGTATCCATAGTGAGCATGTATCCATAGTGAACATGTATACATAATGAGCATGTATCCATAGTAGCATGTATCCATAATGAACATGTAACATAATGAGCATGTATCCATAGTGAGCATGTATACATAGTGAGCATGTATCCATAGTGAGCATGTATCCATATTGAACATGTATACATAATGAGCATGTATCCATAGTGAGCATGTATCCATAGTGAACATGTATACATAATGAGCATGTATCCACAGTGAACATGTATACATAATGAGCATGTATACATAGTGAGCATGTATCCATAGTGAGCATGTATACATAGTGAGCATGCATCCATAGTGAGCATGTATCCATAGTGAACATGTATACATAATGAGCATGTATACATAGTGAGCATGTATACATAGTGAGCATGTATCCATAGTGAACATGTATACATAATGAGCATGTATCCATAGTGAGCATGTATACATAATGAGCATGTATCCATAGTGAGCATGTATACATAGTATCAACTTGCAGTGCCTCCATAGGCATGAGGTATCAACTTGCAGTGCCTCCATAGGCATGAGGTATCAACTTGCAGTGCCTCCATAGGCATGAGGCATCAACTTGCAGTGCCTCCATAGGCATGAGGTATCAACTTGCAGTGCCTCCATAGGCATGAGGCATCAACTTGCAGTGCCTCCATAGGCATGAGGTATCAACTTGCAGTGCCTCCATAGGCATGAGGCATCAACTTGCAGTGCCTCCATAGGCATGAGGCATCAACTTGCAGTGCCTCCATAGCATGAGGTATCAAACTTGCAGTGCCTCCATAGGCATGAGGCATCAACTTGCAGTGCCTCCATAGCATGAGTATCACACTTGCAGTGCCTCCATAGCATGAGGTATCAACTTGCAGTGCCTCCATAGGCATGAGGCATCAACTTGCAGTGCCTCCATAGGCATGAGGTATCAACTTGCAGTGCCTCCATAGGCATGAGGTATCAACTTGCAGTGCCTCCATAGAAGGCATGGCATCAACTGCAGTGCCTCCATAGGCATGAGGTTATCAACTTGCAGTGCCTCCATAGGCATGAGGCATCAACTTGCAGTGCCTCCATAGGCATGATGGCATCAACTTGCAGTGCCTCCATAGGCATGAGGCATCAACTTTGCAGTGCCTCCATAGCATGAGGCATCAACTTGCAGTGCCTCCATAGGCATGAGTATAAACAACTTGCAGTGCCTCCATAGGCATGAGGTATCAACTTGCAGTGCCTCCATAGGCATGAGGTATCAACTTGCAGTGCCTCCATAGGCATGAGGCATCAACTTGCAGTGCCTCCATAGGCATGAGGCATCAACTTGCAGTGCCTCCATAGGCATGAGGCATCAACTTGCAGTGCCTCCATAGCATGAGGTATCAATGCAGTGCCTCCATAGGCATGAGGCATCAACTTGCAGTGCCTCCATAGGCATGAGTATCAACTTGCAGTGCCTCCATAGGCATGAGTATCAACTTGCAGTGCCTCCATAGCATGAGACATCAACTTGCAGTGCCTCTATAGGCATGAGGCATCAACTTGCAGTGCCTCCATAGGCATGAGGTATCAACTTGCAGTGCCTCCATAGGCATGAGGTATCAACTTGCAGTGCCTCCATAGGCATGGAGGTATCAACTTGCAGTGCCTCCATAGGCATGAGGCATCAACTTGCAGTGCCTCCATAGGCATGAGGCATCAACTTGCAGTGCCTCCATAGGCATGAGGTATCAACTTGCAGTGCCTCCATAGGCATGAGACATCAACTTGCAGTGCCTCCATAGGCATGAGGTATCAACTTGCAGTGCCTCCATAGGCATGAGGCATCAACTTGCAGTGCCTCCATAAGGCATGAGGCATCAACTTGCAGTGCCTCCATAGGCATGAGGTATCAACTTGCAGTGCCTCCATAGGCATGAGACATCAACTTGCAGTGCCTCCATAGGCATGAGGTATCAACTTGCAGTGCCTCCATA